AGCCGGGGAGGCCCGAGGGGCGGCCGGAGCGGGCGGGACCCACGCGGACGCACTCCGGGGCCGCTGTGCGGGCTGCCTTCCATTTCCGTCCTTCCCACACTCGGTGTCCGCGGTGGTGAGAGCCCAGGCTGCCTGGGGGACATGACCTAGGGGTGTGTGGCGAGCCAGGAAAGGCTGGATGCTGACCTTTTGACTTTCATAGTTTTCTAGACTCATTGGATCCGAGTGTCAACTACCTCTCCCCTCCAGTGGGGCTCAAAAAGCCACCTTCTTCTCTCCCCCAAGGCTCCAGACTTGCGGGCCCCCCGGCTCTGAGAAGGTCGGCTTTTCTTTTTTTCAGGAGTGGGTCAGAGGGGCTGGCTGGGGATCTCACGGCCTGGGAGATGAGACCTGGAAGTAGACACGCCCCGGGGATGCTGCGTTCTCTCGTTGGGTCCTCAGGGGAAGATGGCTTTGGTCCGGGGTGTGTTCACCACTCCTGGCCCTTGCCGGCTCTCCTTGACCGCAGCTGTCCTGAGGTTTTTGTGATTAAGGGGAGTAGGTTGCTGACGGTCTCCAGGACTACTCATTACGCTGTTTAACAAACACGCCGGCCCCGTCCTGATGTAAATCTGTTTAATCCCGAGTGGTGGTGGATGTGAGCTCACACCTTCCTCCCCCACCGCAGGTTTTTCAGTTTGCTTAAGTTCTGTGCTTGCGCCCCTGGGATTGGCTTGGAGCCCCGCTCGAAGGGCTCATCCAGGTGGGCAGTGATCTTCCATCGTAGCACATTTGGATTCGCCTTTTCACAGAAGCCCTGAATTGTGCCGGTGTAGTTGGGATTCTTTTGACTTACTTGGAACACTCTAGTCTGTGCATTTACACTTAACTGTAGTTTGACAGTCTCCTTGGTGAACCTGCACCCCTTGAGCCGTGAGGCCACTACATGAACAACTTGTGTGATGTGTGTTTCTTTTCCCTGTGGTTTCGAGGCTTTAAAGAAACTGACCATTAGGCTGATGGGTACTTATTACTTGGGAAAATAACCCAGCACAGAGGAGTAGAAGACTGATTAGATCTCTTCTCTCTGTGCAGGATATCTCCCCCCCCCCCCCCAGACAGGGGACAGGGTTTCTCTGTGTAGTACTGGCTGTCCTGGAACTCTGTCTGTAAACCAGGCTGGCCTCGACTCACAGAGATCCGCCTCCTGAGTGCTGGGGTTTAAAGGCGTGCACCACCACTGCCCAGCAACTGTGCAGGATTTTAAAGAATAACTACTCACTTGACTAGAAATGGTATTTTAGTTCATGTGTTTTGGGAACTAGAACTTGTTACTTCTGAACATAATAATTAATCCAAGAGTGTGTGTATGTAAGATCTAGGTTTCCATCCTGCCTGATAGAGGCTTTCCCTTGGTCCTGAGTGCCAGCACAGATTTCTGATGGCCAGGCATTTTCTAGGGGGTGTATAGGTGATTTGCCCTTAGGTCTTGTGGGTTTTTTGTTTGTTTTGTTTTTAGACACAGGGTCTCACTATGTAGACCAAGCAGGCTTGAAATTCACAGAGATTAAAGGCATGTAATACTATACATGGCCACCCTTAATCTTTTTATTCTTTTCTCTTACCTGAAAGTCCATGTTGATGGGTTAAGGCCTGATTCCTAGGCTTCCTGCTTCTGAAAGTGGTCATCACTCAATCCTTGCAGGAGCTTATGGAATATCAAATAATTGTAGTAAAATTACCAACTGTCGTGGCATCTTGTGAAGCATACCCAAGTGCTCTCTGGCCAACCTCATCTGCAGCCCAGGTGACTGTGGCCTGCCTTATCTACCATCCCATTGTACTTGGCTTTCTGGAGGCCACTCTTTAGATTATGTAGGTAATAACCATGTTCACATGAGCTGTAGTGCCTGCTCAGGTTTTTTCCGGTTTGGAACCACAGCTGCATACCTGAAGGCAGTAGAGGGAGGCAGGGCTTAGTTACCTAGTTGATTTGCATTCTAGGGACAGAGTCCTTTGTGGCCTCTGCACATCCTCCTCACACCTGAAAGTAGACCTGAGAGCATGGTCTAAGGGGGCCATAACTTGTTCCTGATGCCTCTTAGTGGTGGTCTTTGGGATGGCTGTTTGAGAATGTTTTCTGATTTTTAATATTTAGATGGTTGTGCTGACTAGAGACCATCTTAGGTCTCCTAGGGCTGGTTGATGGCTCAGTCACTAAAGCATGTAATGTTCAAACATGTCACCTGAGTTTGAGCCCCTAGCCAAAAAAAAAAAAAAAAAAGGTGGGGTTAGGGAGATGACTCAGTGGCTAAGAGCATTTGTTACTCTTACAGAGGACCTGGGTTTAATTCTCAGCACCCACATGGTACCAATTATCTGTAACTCCAGTCCCAGGAGATCCTACACCCCTTCTGACCTCTGAGGGCACCAGTGCACGTACATGGTGCATGTACATACATGCAAACAAACATTCATACACATCAAATTAAGAAATCTTTAAAAAAATAAAGTGGACAGTGATCAAGGAAGGCACCTGACCTCAACCTATGGCCTGCGCGCGCACACACACACACACACACACACACACACACACACACACAGAGTTTCTCTGTGTAGTTTTGGTGCCTGTCCTGGATCTCCCTCTGTAGACCAGGCTGGCCTCAAACTCACAGATATCCGCCTGCCTCTGCCTCCTGAGTGCTGGGATTAAAGGTATGCGCCACCACCGCCTGTCAAGGGTTGCATTTTTTAAAGAACATTTAGTGTGTGTGTGTGTGTGTGTGTGTGTGTGTGTGTGTGTGTACAGCTGTAGGAGTCAGTTCTTGTCAATTCTCTCCTTCCACCCTGGGAATTCTGGGGATTGGACACTCAGGTTGTAAGGGTTGATGGCAGGTGCCTTTACCTTCTGAGCTGTTCTCTGAACACCTGCTAGTGTTTTTCTTTACCTGCCCCCCACCCAGCTTTCCTCCCCCTCAGTGCTGGGGATGGAACTCTGTGTGCCACATGCTAGGCAAGCAGTCTACCACTAAGTTATGCCTCTACCTCATTTAAAAAATTTCAGTCTTAAAGATATTCACACATTTCTTGGGGCTAGGCACTGCACTAGATAGGGAAGGAAATATAGCAATGGGGTATAGTGGTCACAGCTATCAGAGTCCTCAGGGCCGTCTCACAAAGGAACCTTGCTGGGACATTGAGGCAGGGTCTGAGCTGTAACTTACTGTGTGGCCATCCATGGCCTCAGAATCAAGGCAGTCTTTCTGCCTCAGCCCTTCAAGTGCTGCCATTTCAGGCTTGAGCCATTATATCTGTGGTCATGTAATTTTTCTCTCTTGCTCAAATACCAGCTGGCAGAGTGGGAGATGGATGGGGACCAGAAGCCTGGGCTCTTTCTAGCCTTTTGTCCACTAACTCTGAGGCTAGGAGGCTCTGCAGATCTCAGGGTCTCAGTATTTATATTTATAAGATGAAGGGCTTAGAAGTTCTTAACCTTTGAAATTCTGAGAAGGGTTGTGAGACACTCTCTCCCCCACCCCAGGAAAAGAAGCATACGTGTGAACAACTTGGGGCCAGCATCAGGGTAAGGACTGCCACACTCCAGCCCTAAGCTGTCTCCCTCCTGACGACGTGGTGGGGTGGTGAGCACAGCCTCTAAGCTGCCTCTCCCCTCAGAGAATCTGTAATCCTATTTCCTCTGTCATCTTGGAGCTAATAATAATGGTGACTTACATACATGGAGGGCACACATTCCGAAGGATTGTCCCCCATTATTTTGTACTCAAGCACATTGTGGTAAAGAAAGTGGTATCAGGCCTGGCCATTGCTCTGTAGAATCTATTCTGGGTCCAGAACTTGGGCTCCTAGATGCCAGCTTGGGGTTTTTCCATTAGGTTCTGCTTCCTTGGTGATTGTCATGATGAGTTGTTAGCATCATAAATATCCTAGAATGTCACTTGGAGAAGTTTTGTTTGTCCACTGAAGGACTGTTTTTCCTTTGGAATTTGAATCCTAAATACCTTTCTATTTTGAGGATGAAGAACTTGTTTTATTTTTTTAAAAATGTTCTTTAATCTTTATTTTTTTATTTTATGTGAATGAGTATTCTGCCTATATGTGTGCCTATACACCATGTGTGTGTCGGATCCCCTGGAACTGGAGTTACAGACAGTTGTGAGCTGCCGTATGGGTGCTGAGAATTGAACCCATGTCCTCTGGGAGAGCAGCCAGTGCTCTTAACTGATGAGCCATCTCTAGTCCCCTTGTTTTTGTTCTTTAGCCTTTTTCAGAGGAGAAAATTCGTAGGATTTGAGTGTTTGGGGCAGACTTATTTAATGTTTATTGATTAAAGAGTATATTTAAATGATTACTTCTCAGTTGCTTAGCACTTGAGAAAGCTGTGAAGTAAATAAATGTTAAGTGGAAATTAGAAATTGAAATCAGACCTGGTGATGCATGCCTTTCAATCCCAGCACTTAGGAGGCAGAGGCAGGCAGATCTCTGTGAGTCGGAGGTCAGCCTGGTCTACAGAGTGAGTTCTAGGACAGTCAAGGCAACACAGTGAGACACTGTCTTGGAAACAAAGAAAATCTCAAATCATGGAGTTGGCCTATCCAAGTTTGTCCTCATTGATGAGATACTCCCTGCACTAGAATCCCCAAGTAATTTGAAGTTGGATTGTGTTGAGTTGTGTTAGTGACTGTCTTAGTTACTTTTCTATGATAAACACCTTGACCAAGGCAACTTATTGGAAGAAAGGGTTGGAGTCCTTGATGGCTCAGCAAAGGCATGGTGGCAGGAACAGTTGAGAGCTCACATCTTGCTCAGAAAGTAGGAGCAGAGAGGGAGGGGGGAGGCATTGGGAATGGTGGCATGGGCTTTTGTAAGCTCAAAGCCCTCTCCCAGTGGCATACCTTTTCCTATAAGGCCACACCTCCTAATTCTTCCTAAGCAGTTCCATAAACTGGCTACCAAACATTCAAACATAAGAGTTTAAGGGTGTCCTTCTCATTCAAATAACACAGTGACCATGACTGTCCAACAGTGATTCCTTGTGACCTTGTCAGGTTCCTAATGCTTCATGAATTGTCTGTTTTTGTTTTTCGAGACAGGGTTTCTCTGTGTAGCTTTGCACTTTACCTGGATCTTGCTTTGTAGACTAGGCTGGCCTTGAACTCACAGAGATCCGGCTGCCTCTGCCTCCCGAGTGCTGGGATTGAAGGCGTGCACCACCACCGCCCGGCGAATTGTCTGTTTATTATAGCAAAGAGTCTCAGCTATATAAAGAGCAAGTGTTTAAGAAAGGACAAAAAACTTAAAAACTGCACAGGTTAAATGGCTTTGTTTTCTTATTTTTTTAAAAAATACTATTCTGTATGTGCATGTATATGTATGTGTGCATGGGCACAGCAACTACAATTACCTATCAAGCCATCTGTGGTGGTTTGAATAAGAATGGCCTCCGGTAGGCTCACATATCTGAATACTTAGTTATCGGGGAGTGGTACTATTTGAGAAGACTTAGGAGGTGCTGTTGGAGTAGGTGTGGCCTTATTGGAGGAAGTTTGTCAATAGGGGTAGGCTTTGAGGTTTCAAAAGCGCATGCCTGGCCCAGTCTCAGGCTCCACTGTGGATCAGGATGTAACTCTCGGCTACTTGTCCAGCACCATGCCTGTCACCGTGCTCCCTGCTATGATGATAAGCCTCTGAAACAGTAAGCAGCCACAATCAAATCCTTTCCTTTATAAGAGTTGCCTTGGCCATGGTGTCTCTTCACAGCAAAAGCAACTGAGACACCATTTCTTATTTTTTTAAGGCTTATTTCTGATGAAAATAATCAGCCTGGTCAGATGTGTTGGTTACTCAGGCATTGGCGCTTGTAGTACTGCATAGAGTAGAGGATCCCTTAAACATGGCCAGCGTGGAGGAGTCCCCTGTCCTCCTATCATGTCATCCTGACACTTGTCAGGAGGCAGCCAACCACAGTTCGTGATTGTAGCATGGAAAAAGTCTTTGTTTGGGCTAGAGAGATGGCTCAGTGGTTAAGAGTACTGCTTTTCCAGAGAACCGGAGTTCAATTCCCAGCATCCATATGGTGGCTAACAGCCACTTGTTAACACCAGTTACAGGGGATTTGACACTCTTCTGGCCTCTGTGGGCACTGCATACGTATGGTGCATGGACGTACACATGCAGGCAAACATCCATACACATAAAATAAAAGTGTGTGTGTGTGTGTGTGTGTGTGTGTGTGTGTGTGTATTTCAGGTGGGTTCTTTAAATACTAGAGAGAACAGAGCAATCATGCAAAGCTCTGCTATATGAGACGAGAAGCTCAATGTCATGCATCAGCCTCCCCAGGAAAGGATTTACTTGCAGAGAGACTTGGTAGAGGTTAATGGCAAGCAGTCAGTTCTGAAATGTTAAGCAGCAGAAAAGTATTGAAAGTAGAGCCTGATGAGGAAGAGAGGCTGACAGTAAGACCTGCCACAAACCTTTACTGTTTTTGCTAGTATTCACAACGGCTTGCTCCTCAGGAACTGACACCATACATGGGTCCTTTCCTTCCGTTGGCTTTCTGCTTTCTGCTTAGGTACTAGTAGAAGCAAACTTGTCAACTGGAGCTGGGGAATTTTATTGAGCTGCCATGGAAGTGCTTGAGTTTTGTTTTATTTAGTTTCTTGTATTTTTAAATGTGTTTGTGTGTGTGCTTGTATGTGTTCATTTACATATGTATGTAGGTGACTGCAGAGGCCAGAAGAGGGCATTGGATTTCTAGGTGCTAGAGTTATAGGTGGTTGTGAGCTGCTCAACATGGGTGCTGAGAACTGAACTTGGGTCCTCTGGGAGAGCAGTACATACTCTTAACTGCCAAACTAGCTCCTAGCTCTTTGTTTTATTTTGCTTTGCTTTATTTATTTATTTTTGGGTTTTGAGACGATATTGGTCTCAAACTCACAGAGATCTGCCTGCCACTGCCTCATGAATGGTGGGATTAAAAGGTGTGCGCCACCATGCCCAGCTCTTTGTGTTTCTAGTGCGTGTGTGATTTCCTGCAGGCATACACTTGTAGAGGTCTGAGGACAACCCTTGGGGACCTGTTTTATTTTCTGTTATCTAGTGTGATCCATCCGGGGATCACATTCAGATTGTCAGGCCTGTATTTGAGTACCTTTATGCCGAACCATCCTAATAGTCCTGTGTTTGTTTGTTTTTTTTTTTTTTTTTTTGGTTTTTCAAGACAGGGTTTCTCTGTATAGCTTTGAGCCTTTCCTGGGACTCACTTGGTAGCCCAGGCTGGCCTCGAACTCACAGAGATCCGCCTGCCTCTGCCTCCCGAGTGCTGGGATTAAAGGCGTGCGCCACCACCGCCCGTTGTTTGTTTGTTTTAATTATTTATTATATGTGTGATTGTTTGGCTTGCATGTATATATGTGTATCACATGTTTGACTGTTGTCCAAGGAGGTTAGAAGACGGTGTCAATTCTCTCGGAACTGGGATTTTAAAGTTATGAGCTACCTTGTGGGTCCTCTGGAAGAGTAGTGTGTGCGCTTAACCATTGAGCCATCTCTCCAGTCCCAATCGCCGTTTTTTAAGAGAGGACGTAGCCTGGCAGGCTTTGAACTCATTGTCTTCATGTCTCAACGATTTTAGAGTGTAGATTATTAGGGTTTTACTTGACAACTCTCCTTGGGCTGAGAGCATTTGGAATATTATGTCTTAGTTGTGTGGGACATCTATGTGTGAAGGGAGAATAGGCAAGGTGGATTGAAGGGGTGCATTCTGGCTACTGTTACGTAGAGATCTTGGGATTCCAAGATTAAGGTCTCATGCTCTGTAGAAACAGCTGGGTCTAGAAATAACTCTTTCCCCAAGGCAGTACCAGACAGAAATGGGTCCACTGTAGAGAACACAGAGGAGGGCTGGTCTGGCTGTTGTCAGCATGCTGCAGAGCTCAACTCAGGAAGGTGGCCTTTGCCAGAAGTGAGCTCCAGGGTCATCAAGATTGTGGGCACAGTGGTATGTGGGGTTGTTGAGTGTGGTGGGAGGGCAGCTTCAGGGTGTGAGCTCTTTGTAGGACAAGGTTAAGGTCTAGACTTTCCTCTGGAGAATGAATCCAGTGGGGAGCCTTCCAGGGGATGAGCAGGATGATCTTGGCAGGGCTAAGAGGTCAGTTGAGAAGTCAGGGAGTGGATGGGAGAGATATGATTCTGATTGCTCCTTTTCACAAAGATCCAGTGTCCTCAAAGGCTTGAGGATTACCTTGGCAGCTCTTTGGAAGCAGTGGTTTAATTTTGTACGAAAGGGACTTCCAGGGAGGGCTGGCCTCAGTCATTGATTCAGCTCCATTGTCTAACTGTTCACTTATGCTATTAGGGTGGGGAGGGTGTTGTCATGTAGCCTGTGTCCTGTTTCTGTTTTGATTGGCTTATTCTCACAAGTCTGTAAGGCTAGTTCCTGCAGATGAGAAAAGGCAAAACTGCAGCAACGAACCAGAGGTCAAGGGTTTGGAGCCAGACAGCCCTGGGTCCTGGTCCCAGGTCTACCACCAGGTGACCGCATAACCTCGCCCGGTCAGATGGTTCGACATTTCGGAGACTAGGTGTCTTATTTTGAACTGCTGTAACATAGTGCGCCAGGCATTTGTTTATAAAGAACAGACATCTTCTTCCTCAAAGTTCTGGAGTCTGGAAGCCTGAGGTGAAGGCGTAATAGTGTTGGGTCTCTTCTGGGTTACAGATCCAATTTCTGGTTGTGCTTTTACACAGTTGAAAGAGAGTAAGGAAGTGCCTTCTTAAGAAAGGGCACTAATCTCATTCTTGGGGACTTCACCCCATGACCCAGTTAGCTTCCTAAGACTCCACCTCCTAGGATTTGAGCTTGGGAATTTGGAGTGGCTCCCTTCCTCTGGATTGTGTAGGTGCTGTGCAGTC